CTCTCTCTCTCTCTCTCTCTCTCTCTCTCTCTCTCTCTCTCTCTCTCTCTCTCTCTCTCTCTCTCTTTCTCGTCGCTCCCTCCCTCGACAATCGTGACAACGGTATCAAAGAAGAAAGAGATAAACCGCGATAATATATATTTACCTCTCCCCTCCCTCGAAAAAAGAATTCAACGAAAAACATCCAACAACCAAACTTATCAACTTCGTTCTTCCTATCGTATTTTCGCGATCCCTTGTCGCGAGATCGAATTTAAAGAAAGATAATCAACTCCCCAAAAAAGAAAAAACAAAACAAAAAAGGAAAGAGATAAATAAGACGAAGGAAAGGAGGAAACGTAGGCAGAGTGGAAGCATCTGGAAATGTTCCGTGCAGTTGACGAGTCTAGCCGCAATTGGGACATGAAAAGCAGGTTCGCGTGCAGCGGGATGCATTACAGCGCACGCGATACGGAGAGCGCGGTCAGTGTTTTCATGGGGCCCGGTCTAAAGCACGCGGAACGGTACCTCGATCCGTGCTTTTTGCTCGTTAACTCTCTCTCTTTGGACGATCTTGCCCGCGCGCGCGCCCATCTTACGTGCATTTTTCCAGGATCGATCCTACCTACCTCTTCTTCTTCTTCTTCTTCTTCTTCTTCTCCTTTCTCCTATCCTTTCGTTTCTTCGTCTCCTCTCCGTCCGTGCTTCGCTTCTGCCTTCGATCGGTATACGATCGGGGATAACGAGTGGAGTGGAAAAAGAAGAGGAGGAAAAAAGCGTGGATAGGAGATGTATAAATATCGATTTTATAGATTCGTGTTGGTATCGAGGGGGGATCGGCTTCTCGGCGTGGAAATGGTAGGAATCGAGAGAGGTGTACTTCGAAGGTTTCGCGTGTTTCAGAGGATTTCACGGTACGTCGGTCTATCAGCTGTTTATCGTGGATTACACGCGATTGCGACGTCGTTTTAGCCGCCACCGACGCTTTGCTTCCGCGGCAGAATTGATCTATTGTGTCGCGAGGATTGCGAGATGCGTATTTTTTTCGAGAGAGAACGAGGGGAGAGATCGACTTGAGGAGGTCTAAGGAGAAAGGAGATATATATATATATAAATATCGCTTAGCTCGAGACGAATTTATCGTTTGTTTGAAAATCTGATACGATCTTCGTTACTGATTCAAACAAAGGATAATCGAAAACTCTTCGAGTACGTAAACTCTTTTGTTCTTTTCGAAATTGCGCGAGAGAAAGAGCGCTCAGTAATTATCACGACGATCCAAGCATCGAGTTCTCCCTGATTTTTACGCGAGCCTCGCTTCTTCGGGGCGAAAAAGAATTCTTCCTTCGAGGAGTCGGAAGGTTTTTCAGCGGAGTCGAGCCGGTTATGACGGTCATTAAGCGATGAATTTTAATGCATTTTACCATTCTCGACATTTCCTATGCCGGCTTCAAAGTTCCGCCAACTATCCCTGACGGATGGACGCGCGTAATCTTTTTCTTCTTTTTTCTTTCTCTCTCTCTCTCTCTTTTTTTTCCGTTCTTTTTTTCCCCTCTCTTCCGTTCCAACTCCACCATTTCTCGCGACCCATTCAACAGTCTCACTTTGTTTTTCGTTAAACTTTTATCTCTGGGAAACATGCGGTCAGGTTTTCTCTCCACTCGCTTCTCTATCTCTAACGGTACGGCTCTCGCAACCCCGTTGCATTGTTTTCTCGTAAATCGACCGACTAGTGCATAATTCGTGGTACTTTTTGAGAAAGTGAGAAAAATCAACGAGCAAAGAGTAAAGTATTTTTGTTTCAACATTATTTTTTATTTGACGCTTTCGGCGAACGAATTTTCGGCGAACATTCTTTTAATTTTTTTTTTTTCCTCTAACGCTTTGGCGTAATTTTTAACGCAATCTGTAGCGTGACAGTTTTTAATACGTACGAGGTGCAGGAAGATTTAATTTTTTAAATTATTATTTTTCTATCGCCTGCTTTATTTATTTATTTATTTTTTTTTTTTTTCGCGTTCCGAAAATGACTTTTGAAGCAACAACAGCAATGTATCGCGTTTTCGTATAAAAATTTATTTAAATGCGAAACGATTCGTAAATATATATCTTACGGAGGGGAGGGAAATTTTATGCATTTATGGGAAATTTTCTCAGAAATGTTGGAAATGTTTAAAATATTAGGAAGTATAAGATTGTTCGAGTGGCGGCACGATTCTTATGCAGTTTTGAACATCTTGAATAATTTTCCACCGTGTAGCTACATATTTTAACGTTTCGACTCGTCGATCCAAAGAACGACAGAGCAATGAAAGAGATGCGGCTACGTTTCCATGTGCATTGCTAGCTAATCGGACACGAAATAAGAGCAAAGAAAGAAGAACAATGGAAATTTTTGCTCGTTATTCTTTCGAACTTACAACTTATTCGCATAGAATTACCTTAAATTGCCCCTCTCAACGAGGTTTCGCACAATTTTTCGCCTCCCCTCTTAATAACCGTTTAATTGATTTCTTAATTTTTTTTCACTTTAACGCTTACGCTGGGGAACAAGGTAGAAAAATAAATAAAAGGACGCGATAAAAATACGATTCCTATCCTCGATATTTAGCTATCTTTATCTAAAGTCTTTGCTTTAGAAAAAAAAGAAAAAAAAAAACTGAAGAAATCGTTAAATGCAACTCGCCAACTCGATACTCGGATCGAGTAATTGAGAGTTCGCCTCGACTTCCCCATCGGCAACTTGCCCGTGAAATCAATGAACACCGATTCAACTTCACTTTCAAAGAGCTGAAAGTTGCACTTGGTCCGTTAAAGAGAGGAACCATTAGAACCTCCCTCTTCCTTTCATTCACTCGCCGAGAATATGATCCCGCTAAATTCTTATCGTCTTATCCAGTTCCACCCACCGCTCCCAACTTTCTCAATTACTCTCCTCTTCTCCTCTTATCTCTATCCACCTCCTCGAGAGCATCCACACCCAAACACGGTGTAACGTTTCGGTGATCCGTTATACACATTTTGCGTTTCGTTCGTAAATTTATATATAACCACGGTTGCCTCAGAGGAGAAGAAATCTTACGATCAACAATTTCACTTGTTATACAGAAAAATAACCAACTTGGGACGCGCACGAATTTCGTTATTATTAAAATTAACCAGGATATTTAGATTAGAATCGATCGATTCCAAATTTAAAAGGATTCCAATTAGAGCACAAATTATAAAGATTCATCCTTTGGATCGAGAGATCGGCGCAAAAGCGTGGAAAGCCAGCCAAGTCGAAAAGTGTTAATATCATCGGTATCCACGATCCCGTGATTTATCCAGCTTCCCGTAATCGAAACGGTTACAAAGCGAGTTAAATCTCATCGATCCCGCGCATTCGGCAATTAGGAGACTTTGTCCCGTTCTAAATACCGAATTCGAGCGTGGAGATAATTCTGGGCATGTTACACGGGTGGTCCTCCGCGGCCTTAATTCCCCCCTCGAGAGAGGAAAGGAGAGAGTTCCCCCCTCCCCCAGGGTTGAACGGTGCGCATCGATATATAATACAGATGTAATATCACACCTGGCAGTTACGTATCGGCCCACGTATTCCGATACGTTGGCGCAATCACGCGGTTACGCGATGGAAACGCTCCCTCTCTCTCCGGAAATAGATGTATATATATTCCAACCCCGCGAGGAATTCGCGTGAGAACTCCAACTTTCGTTCGTTCGAGGAAAAACGGGGAAATCGTTCGTCTTGATTTACGCAGCCCTCGATTTTCCTCGATGTCCTCGGTTGATAGGTGTTGCAACGATACGAGGGGAAATACCGTGCTTTCTAAATGACGCTCGATTATTTGGCCAGTAAAGAGGATGGCCTTGCCAAACTTTTCTACGTTATAGATTGATAAAATATTGGTATAGAGTCGCGTGAATTTCATTTTCCTACTTTCCTTTAACCGTTGCGAACATTTCTTTGTAATCGTGCCTCGATAAATATATATATATCATTGAATATATCTTCTTTCCCGCGTTTAATTAATTTCGCAAACAATTTTTATTACTATAGAAGAAAGAGGAATGAACGTGTATTGTACGGTATAGCATTGTACGTACGTGTATATACGGATACAATGGAGCATCGTTTAAACCGGTAATTTATTGAAATTCACCGGAAGGAAACGATTTAACCGTATTTCCTCTTTCCTCCTTTTCCTGTTTGTTTTCCATGTATCTTTTTAATGAAGTCGGTTAAACGAGTAACGAGTGCGCATCGATCGAAAAGATCAAACGTTTCCGCGGCCGTATATGCACGGACGGCGCATAGGATAACGAGATATAGAGGGAAATAACAACGAGGACGATTCTCTCGTGACACGATGTGGCGTTTACCGCTAACGAGCGCGCTAATTGGCATAACGAAGCCGCGCCCGCGGGAGTGTAATCAAGTAATTCGATTAACGCTGTCGTCTAGTTCCTCCGTGTTTTTCTTCCTCGTCTCGCTTCCCGATTTTCGAACAATCCTATCAACCCTTCGCGCCTTTCTTTTTTTTCTTTTCCTCTCGATCGGTGTATATATTACTTTGTCAATCGCGATCATTCGCAACGCCATTTCTTTTTTCTTCTCCTCCTCTTTGTCAAAATTAAGTCTCACGCTTCGTCGCATACCGATATTTTTATTTTTATTTCAACTCGGTGTTTAAATTGCGAAGAGCAAAGGCGTTTTACGTACGCGAAAGAAGCGTTGATATTCTATTTTCGGATATGTCTTCTCTCGCGGAGATATCATATTTTCTCAATTTTTTCGAGACAGTTCGAACTAGTTTCCGCCGCTTTAATTTCGAGGAGGCGCGACACACCTTCGCAGCGATTTCCGTTTCTTTCTCTCTCTCTTTCTCCCTTCGTTCTCCTTCGACCACTTGTGACCGTTCTTTCTCTCCTTTGACACTTCACTCTTCGCCTTGTTATAACGAGATATACACTTACTCTCGTTCTCGTTGACAATAGTGACAGAATGTAGTTTGCCATCGAGGTAAGGTCAGTTATTCTCGAGGTATTCTTAACGACATAATTAAGCGACAGTGTAAAATTAACGAAACCTCAATTAGACCCGACGAACAATTGCTATTTTTGACAAATTTCCCCAGAAATTGATCGATCTCGTTACAACGCTCGCGAATCTGAAATAAATTCGATATTTCGATATTTCGTTTGCCGAAGAATTCGAGATGCAATTTGGAAATTATGGAATGGAACGTTATCGGGCATATTTTGCGAAGTATTTCGCGAGAGCGAAAAAAACGTGAAAAATTAAATCACGTTTGTTGTAGAAGTATATTCGTGATATTTAACGGTGATTTATTAAAAAAAAGAAAAAAGAAAAAAAAGGAAATATTATTATCGATCTCCCACCTTCTTTCTCGAAATATAAAATTACACACATATGACATTTAATGTATTATATTATATAAAATCGATCAATAATTTTTTAAAAGGTTTTAGAATGAGTGAGCTAAGTATCGAAATTAGATCCATTTCACGCCATTAATGGAGGCGAGTTCAAAGCGACTAAAGTGGCTCGAAAAGTGCGGGACGTGAAAAGTGAAGGGTCTATCGATTTGTCTGCTACTAATTTGGTTGCAAAAAAAAAAAAAAAGAAGAAGGGAACGGAAGACGATAGCAAGCGTCAAAATGCCAAAGTTCCATAGCGTAGACTTATCCCTTTCATCCTTGAAAAATTTATCCCCTCTCTCTCCATAAATAGTGCAAATTTTTCCAAATCATGTACACCTGATAAATCGATCGTGAAAATTCTTAATTTTTCAAAATTTCTTCGAAAATTGTCGAGCAAACAGCAAAATCGATCGTTGGAGAATGAATAACAGAAGCGTAATCGGGAATTCGGTAACCCACAATAACGCGTCTCGCCCCCCATAATCCCTCGTCCTAGTTGGAAGGTATTATACGAAGTAAACAGAAATTAAGGGCTGGCCCCTTATCGCCGATCTCTGCGGATGGCATTCTGGCCCGCCCTGCACTTGGCAGCCGTCCACTCATTTCTCTTTCTTCCTCTCCTCTTCTTCACTTTCCAACGATTTTTTCCACTTCCTCTCCCTCCTTCCACCGCCATTCTTTACGCCGCCGTTGAAATAATCCAGCCGCAAATACCGCTTTAATTATTCCATTCTACTTAACACCGCGTTCCAACGATCACGTTCGGTCCTTTTCCGGTCGAGCTTATAAGCATACCTCGTCCTTATACACCACCATATTCCACCTTCTTGTCCACGACTTAATACCTCGCATACGTGACTCCGTCGCGATTCTTTCTTCTATTTCTTCCTTTCCTTCTGCATTTTTCTTTCTTTCTCTCTCTTTTTTTTTTCCTTCGAATCGAGTCGAACAGGTGAACGGAAGAAAAGTCATTTTCGGCTCGACACGAAACACCCAGTCTTCCCCCGTGCTTAAACTCTTTCGAGAGAGTTCTTGCACAAGAGTTCGAATGTTATCGAACGCTACCGATCTTCGTTCGTTCGTTCGAGTAGTTTTTACCGGTACGTAGGGATAGATTGCTTTAATTACGAGGAAATTAAGGTTACCCCCTCGAGCCCCGTGTTTCTCTTGGATTGTTTCTCTCTCTTTGTAGCTTTCGATATTTTGGCCGGCCGATTTTATTCGAAATCTTTTGAATTTTTTAGATTTATGATTCGAATATCGTATAAGGTAATAATAAGACGGTAAAGTTACCTCTTACGTGGCTCACGTACTTTGCGAGGGGATCAAAGAAAATTTAATTCACTCTCTCACTTCGTTACGTTATAGCTTTTATTTTTTTTTTCCCCTTCGTCCTTTGTATATGAAATTAGGTAGGTCTTTCTACGCGTGCCACCGTTTCCTCTGCGATCTAATAGCTCGCGATTAACGCATAATTATACTAATTGACCTCTGTACGATCTCTTTGTTTCAATTATTACGTTATTTCTATACATCATACGCGATTGTATTAGATCGCTGTATAACAAAATCTCATTTTCGAGATAAACGGTCGTCCCATATACAGCAGGGGTAAAAAAATTGAAATTTTTAATCAGAATTACGCGCTGTAAAAATCATTGAAATCGTATTTTTCCTTTTTTTGCAGAAATCCCATCTTTTCGACTAAGTTTGTATCGATAATAAAAAATAATCCTTTTGCATATTACGTCTGGAAAAAAGTAATTGCTTTAAAAATAACCAAACGAAAGGTTCAACGATATATTTAAATTTTTTTTTCAATAAACGATAACACGATAGAGTAAAATTGAATATATTGCTTTGATGCAAGAATAACTATATTTAATAATTTTCTCAAGCAACGACAAGAAACGAGCAAACGTTTTTCTCCCTTCCACCTACTCTTTCCTCGATCGTTTCTTTCTTTTTCCTTTTATCACCCTGTTAAAAACGCTGTTGGTCGCTTGTTAATCACCGCTTCCATCGTCGAAACGTACCGGATCGAGCCGAAAAAGATCGAGGAAAAATTTTCCACCCATTTATTCAGGAAAATTATCCATCGTCTCGAGGATAAAACAACACCCACATCCATATCCACATCCCGAACACCGTTGTAATATTTGCTTCGAATGAAAAACGAATGAATTTAATTGGATACTTCTTCTTACGAAAATATATCCACTCGTGGATACGTAAAAGCGAGCTCTCCTCAACTCTGAGGAGAAACTACGAAAAAAATACAACGAGGATCTAATGCTCGAGGGATCTAATGATCGATCGATCGGAAGGAGAGAAAATACCAGGAATCGAAATACAAAATATTCCCTTTGCCAGCACAGTGCGTGCGTCCAAAGGATTTCTTCTACACTCCCCTTTCCCAGAAGGGGATGCATCCTTCTTAACGATGCATAGCGACATTCCAACCCGGAATTCCAACTCGAATTTTGAACCTGTTCCCTTGCGATCGGGGACGATCACGCGCGCACCTAGGAAACCAGAGCCGCCGGCTCTGTGTGTCTGTGACCCACATAGCGAGCGTTCAAGCCGGAAACAGGCCGTGGTGGAGGAATGGAGGACGTGGACCGTCGTGGACAGAGAACGGAAGAAAAGTCGAGGAGAACAAAACGCGAGGACGAGACTAAATGAAACGAGATTGCTTACCCTCCCCTCATCTATTTATCCATCTATCTCTACCTCCCCTTCTATTTGCTCTTTCGAGCGACGAAGCTGAGTTAAGCGGATATTCTTTCGGATATCTTCTTGGGAGAGGAAAATTATTTCGACGTTATTCGGCCGCGATGAATTTTGAACACGGTTTGCGAGGGGAAATTCGAGTTTATGACGCGTTTCTTGACGCGTGCCACGCGCTTAAGTGGCTTTTAACCTTTTCGCTACTACGACTATAGTCGCTCTGCACGAGATGCCGCGTAAAACGTAGCATCGATATTTTGTTTTTGTCACTAATTTCTTTTCTTCGATAAACACCGCCAAAGTAATTCGAATCGTGGGGTGACGATCTTTCTCGAGCACCGTGGTGCATCATAAGACGTTCCCCTTCTCGAGTAAGTTTCGTTGGACGTGAGATATAATACGTAAGAATTTTTAACGCGGAGATATTTGTCGTTTGAACGATTTCACGCGAGATGCGATTCCTCGTGGAGGAATTTTTTAATTCGATCGCGCGAATGGATTGTGAAGATGTCCGGGCAAAGAGGTCGCAATAATATACGATGTTAAGGGTATTCTTGCCACCAGGCATTAGGAAAATGAATTTCAGACGACGCAAATTTAATTCAATACCTTACTTTGCATGTTAAGTGATTAAAAAAGTGATTCATTGCTCGCGTTACTTTTATTGAAATAAGATAATATTTTCCATTAATTCGGGGATGAAAAGATATGATCAACATCTTCCTAGATCGTTTTAACGACGTAGAAAAACAAAAATTAAGGAAAGAAGTTTGTTTCTTTGAAGATTTTCGATCCGGCTTTCTCGAAAAACGGCGCGCGTCCACGACACACGGGGCAATTTGTTGGTGGCAAAGTCGTAAAAGGATCGAACGTCGGAGGATCGATTTTTAGCTCGCGTCAACCGATGCCCGTTAACCGATGATGGGATCCTTCCTTCGCGGTATTCCTCGTGTATCGAACACACGGGGAGAAAAATTCTGGCAATAAATTCCCGCGGAGATTGATGGCCCGCTACACTATCCTATTACCCCAACTACTACAATCTGCTCGTTTTCTTTGGTGAAAAATAGCGATGGCCGCTACTTACTTGCCCGCGTATTTATATTATATTCGTAACACATACGAACATTGCGTTCGTATGATATTATGGAGAATTGGAGTTTCTTTTCTTCTTTTTTCTTTTACGTTAATTTTAATTCGAGGAAATTTCATCCTCGAAGGAAAGTGATTTTTCCAACTTACTTTTTATTACACATCGGATCGAATTTGAACGCGACAAAAGATTTCCCATCTTGGAAGGTGAGAAGCGCAAAAAGAGAAATATCGCATCGATGTTCGGAGGTCATCAGACGTTCCTTTTTACTTCGCTCTTCCTTTTCCGCGGTCGGCTCTCATCCCAGGTGAGAAGAAGTCGACCTAATCCCGGGGGATAAGTTTTCATCACGTTCGGCTGGCAACGCGCTTCCTGACTTTGATTCTGTTCAATGCTCGTCTTCCACGTTCGACCGAAACGACCATCCCTCCAACTTTTCCAACCAAACTCAGAATAAGATAAATTTATATACCCCCCCAAAAAAAGAAAAAATTGAACTTCGAAAGATCAATATCTCACCCAATGAACGAGAACATCTCTTAACTCCCCTGTAAAATAATGATAATAAACGCGTTAGATCTCTTTGTAAATAAACAAGATTACTTCCCTCGAATACATCTCTTCAACCTTGAAAACACGAGGATCGAAACGATTTTCCCTCCTTCTTTTCCCTGGACACGACACGACACCATACGTCCAAGGATCAATCGAGGTACATCCGCTTTTTTCAACGTGCGATCAACGAGCCGAGAGATGGCCCATCGAAAACCCGGAAGCCTCTCCTTTGCCTCTCGAACCACGCCGTTCCCTTCTTCCCTATTTATTCGGCCAATCGTGGAACGCGAAGTTTCCGCCCGAGATAGCGCCTCGAATCTCTGTTCCCGCGAATATGAGGCTGACGTTGAATAATGCATCCCTTCGACGAGCATCCGCGCCACCTTCGTTTACACGATCGAATCGCCGACCGATTTAATTGTATCTCGTTACGCAACACCGTCCATATTCGCACTCGAAACTATATCTTAGGGGTTCGTTCCAGAAGGTTTAGATACGGTTCTCTTTGTACGTGATCGTATTTTGACCGTATTTTGATCGTATTTAGGATTGATCAGGCGTTTTTAAAGTACGATCGTGCAGGGAAATGGCGTTTGCCTGACGAATAATACGAGAATATATTCGTGCATTCAAAACGTGAAGAATTTTATCATCGTATATCGAACCGTTCGATCGAGGATCGAAACGATTAGGGGTTCATTCGTTCGGATTTGAAAATATATTCATACATACAAAATGTACAAAATTTTTTTTACCGTATAAGTTATCCGTTATTCTCGATAGATCTCAAAGAAGGAACCGCGTTTCTCTCAACAAATTATGCGCGAACAATCGATCTCCACTCCTCGAAAGCTATCGCGCGTGCACATCGTCGACTCTTTTCGCGTCTTATCGTCAAAAACGCGAAAAGAAGGAACGTATGAAGAAGAAAAAGGTAATCACTGGCTCGTTTAAAGAACACGCACAAAAAAAGAAGAAGGGAAAAAGATCGAGTTGGAGTGGATCGCGAAGTGGACGAGAGAAAGAGAGAATAAAATAAAAAGGGACGGAAAGTTGACGTCAGTAGCGTACGCAAGCGTTTAATCCGACGCGATAGAGGCTCGCTGCGATGCGAGAGGCTTCTCCATTCGAATCGATACGACACACGCACACCGGGCTTCTATATATCTGTATGAAACGCGGAATTATCGTCGAATCCTGGCTACGAAAACTTATTCGTTCGCCCGTCCTCTCTCTCTCTCTCTCTCTCTCTTCTCCTCTCCGCCCTTCTTTTTTTCCCCTCCTTTCTCGCGCGCAAGAAGAGGTTGCGAAAATCCGAGATATCGGTTCAACGCCGACTTCCGGACCCGCGAGACGGAATTCGAGACGGAATAATCGGAGGTAGGTGGATCGGTATATGGTTGGAAACGAGTAGTGGAGCGAAAGTTTGTACAATTTTATTACGTTCCATCGATGGAAGAAAGAAGAGCTCTGTTCCAAACAGGTTACGATTATTTATTTTATTTTCAACGAAGATTCGTCGTTGGAATATGGAATTTTACTCGTAGTAGCTGGCTGATCCCGTTGGGATTATTGTTTAAGTATATATATATATATATGTGGGTTTTATAAGAAAGAAAATGTTTCGTGAAATAAGTAAGGAAAAGTTGAAAAAAATGGCGAGCGCGATACTAATTATATGTTATTACTTGCTGGGTTGGCCAACGGTTGAAATATACTTGAAATTTATTTTCCAAGGAAAGTTTGCCGTGGAATGGTAGCGTAACTCATTCCATTGGATTTATACACCGTATATTCGTCTTGTTGTTTCACGCTCGCGGAGGATGGAACAAAGGGAATTAGGAAGACAAAAGTGACTGTTCCAACGTGAAGTGGCATAGTTTATGAGTCCGACTCTTTCCCGCGTGATTTTCCCTCCGAACATTTCCTCGAAATATAATCTTTCCGCCGTAGCGGACGAATAACAATTTTTTCCAAACGATTAAAAATATCTCTCTCTCTCTCTCTCTCTCTCTTCGAAAACGAACAACGCGTTGAAAAAATAAAGAGAATGGAAAGGAATTGTCAGAGTAGAAGAGGAAGGAATAATTAAAGATAAGTAGGAATCAAACAACAAGCAGATTTCTGATTTAAAATTATTTTAAACGGAGATTGAACGAGCGTTTGAAACTATCGAAAGCTGTGTTGAATAGGAAAAGGGCGGACGTTCTATCCCGGAACCAGCTCTTGTCCGTCAAGCGTTCCCTTTCCTTCTCGCAACGTCGATGCCCTTGCAAATGTCCTGGAAATGGAAAAGGAGGCTTGTGAGATCGATTCGGAGATTGGGCCACTTCCGACCCTTCCGTTTCGCTGTCACCCACGATCCTCCGCTTCCCATCGATCCGTGCTCACCCGTGTTATTTAATCCCTTTTTCGCGCGTGCTTCGATCTGCGCGCGAACGAAAACTCGGGGCGGGAAAAGTTTCGAGTTTTCTTCACCGATAAATGGGCTGACAATCAATGGCTTCCGAATTCTAAAAGGGAATAATCTTTTTCGTTCTTGTACTTCGTTCTTCGCACAGCGAAAAAG